GGCGGTGGACCTGCAAGGCCGGCGGGAGGGCAAGGGAGCCCTGCAAAGGCCCTCCCTGGCCCCAGGCAGGCAGGGGTGGGGAGAGGCAGGGAGGAAGCAACTTACCCTCCCTCTTCTCCTGCCTCCTCCTGGCTGAATGAGGGCCGGAAGCGGGGCGGCCGGAAGCAGGGGGCGGGGCTTCGTCATGTGCCCCGCCCCCGGTACCTCACCCGGGGGAACTGCGATCCCCCGCGATCCCCCCCGAAATGACCTCTGATTTTAACCGCCCTGGTTTCCTTTTCCTTGTGTCTTATTTTGTCGTGAGAAACCAAAGAGGCAAACTTCACACGCTTAGGAGAACAAAGCTCTCTTATTCAGCTGCCGACTGGAGGAAACTCGGGAGCTCTAAAAATGAGCCATTGTTTCCCATCCCTCCTGTATGTACCCATAATAAGGGTGTGAAGACCCGTGTGCTCCTCCCCCCCCCCCCCATCCACGCCCAGCTACGGCCACGTCCTTGCCTGGGTCCCTTCTCTTGTCCTCATCGGCCTGTGGCGCTACCTTTTCCTGTTTTCCCCGGGATGAACTTCTCTTAGAGCGGCCTGTTTCCACCTCACATCATGTCCGACTGGTCTCTGGCAGGAATTGGACTTACTCTGTCTCTGCCCCCATCTCTCCGCTGCGGCCTTCCTAAGGCTGTGATGTAAGCCCGTGTTTTTATGAAGGTTTTTAAAATGGAGGTTATTTCGGAGAGGCTTGGGCTGCACTTATATATTGCTGAATGATGCCAGTCAGGGCTTTTTTGTAGAAAAAGCCCAGCAGGAACTCATTAGCATACTAGACCACACCCAACAGCAGAAACTCATTAGCATATTAGGCCACACCCCTGACAGCACAGCTCATTGGCCTATTAGGCCCCACCCCCATGTTACCAGGTGTGCTCATCCAGCCACACCCACCTTTTGCTTCTTATTCTGTTTACCTTGTTTGTTGTCCAAACCCAGGGCCTTTTTTTTTGTAGCAGGAACTCCTTTGCATGTTAGGCCAGACATCCCTAATGTAGCCAATCCTAAGGAGTTTCTGCTGTTGGGTGTGGCCTATTATGCTAATGCGTTCCTGCTGGGTGTGGCCAACTTGGAAGCCAGCTGGAACTCCATTCCTGTGCGTTCCTGCCCAAAAATAGCCCTGATGCCAGTGGGACTTTGAGACGGCTGAGTGTAAATTTACTAGCGTTTTTAATACGTATATCGGTTATTTTAAAAAAGTATTCTTCCTTGAGCCTCCCCGAGATAAATGTCAACTTCCCACGTCTGTTGGTTCTGTCTTGCTGGTTTTAATTGGGAAGAAGGCCGGCTGCAGCGTTGCAGGTTGCAGCGTTAACGGCCAGCAAGGCAGGGTGGCGTGCCGAGCTAGAGCGTGAAGTCCGCTGGGTTCCTTTGGCAGTCCTTGCGTCTCTCGTGCCATCTTTTCTTTTCTTCTTCTCCCTGAATTCAGAATCTCATTTGGCTGGAGGAGAAAGAGAAGGAAGTCGTAAGCGCCCTACGCTATTTCAAGACCATCGTGGACAAGATGGCCATCGACAAGAAGGTGCTGGAGATGCTGCCGGGGTCGGCGACTAAAGTGCTGGAGGCCATCGTGCCCCTGGTCCAGACGGACCCGCGGATCCAACAGAGGTGAGACAGGGTGGGGGGGGGGCAATCAGGAAGAAGGACTCTGGGGCAGATGTTTGCAGATGCTGAATGAGGAACGTCTCTCGGATTCTTTCAAATCCACCTGCGATTCCTCCGCTTTAAAACTTGCGGCCGTTCTCTCCATGGTATGAACTTAGGAGCTGGGGGCTGCCAGGAGTTTGCTTATTTACTTCATTTGTGGCCCCGCCTCTCCCCCCAGTTGGGGAGCCAAAGCAGCTTACGTCATTCCCCTCTCCTCCATTTTAATCCTCACAACAACCCTGTGAGGTAGGCTAGGCTGCAAGTGCATGACTGGCCTTCTGGAAGACCCTTCTGCCTGCCCCAGCCCCTCTCTCAGTGAGCAGCAGCCAGAGGGATACGTCGTTATTTCCATCGGCACTACAGGATCCCTTATCCTATCGCACTACAGTTTCAATGTGCATATTTTCTTGCCTTTATATGCCTAGATTAAAAGAAGGGAGCGAATACAGCCTGTCCGCTTCTAGCCACCGCAATGGCAGGACTGGTGACTGCCGGAATTGTCTCTCTTCATGCAGCTATCCAAGCTGTGCCCTGTCAAGAAGGATCCCCTCTACTATGAGCTACTCAAAAGTGACACCCCACCCCACCCCAAAGGACACTGGGCCCTTTTTGGAAGAGCTCGCTTGCTGATGCTGCAGTCCTGTGGCCCAACAGACTCACAGGAAGTTGTGAAACCGCTTGAGGACTGGATGAAAAACTTTGATGGGCCACAGTCTGCCCACCCCTGGGCCGGGGTCTCACCATCTCCATCCTTATTGCCACTTTGAGCCTACAATTCAGTTGCGTTTTCGCTCCTCAAAGGGATGCCAAGGCACGGAGCGGTGCCACTTGGAGCCCACAGAGAATCTTGGCCGGGGGCAAATATTCAGGTTCTGTGCCATTCTTCAGGGGTTTCCTCTCCGGATGCTGGCCAGAGCAGAATAACTTATGCAAAATAAGCAGGTAGATGCAAATTGCATAGCTTCTGCAGGACACGGAATTCCCCTTTTCAACGTTTTTGAGTGGCAGTTAACCCTGGCTGTACCCAGCCTTTCACCTGAGAATAGCAGACCTGCCGACCACAAATATTTCCCTTTTATAACTTTGGCAGCGCCGTGCTCTCTGTCATTCGTGCAAGCGTGTCAGTCCATTCAACCACAGCGTGTTTTGTGATGGCAACAGGGGAAGCAAAACTGTAACAAGGAAGTTGTTCAGTTCCACTTTTTCCCGTGAACGGCGACCACAATGTCTTTGTTTTCAGGACTAGGGAGACAAGGGACGAGGGGGGGAGCAAGCCCAACAAATCCATGGTGCACACGTTAGAATGGACGTTAAGCGTCTCAATGGAAGTGTTTAAATTTGGCAAATTGCTGCTCATCCTTTGTAATCTTGAGAATGGATTACAGTACTGTAGTGCGCATTGGGCACTGGCCGGCCCCCTGAAGATCATTCAGAAGCTTTTGTGGTTGGGGGGAGGGCGGCTTACCGAACCAATGCGATGTAGTGTTTAGAATGCTGAACTAGGACCAGAGAGATCCGTGTTCAGATCCCCATCAGTTTCACCGATTGTCTTGGACTAGTCTAAAGCTCTTATCTAACCCACTTTACAGGGTGGTTGTGAGAATAAAATGGGGGTAGGAAACTATGTCAGCAGCTCAGCCTGTTTTCTTTGGATGCAGAGATGCCTTTCACTGAGATGTCCATGCTGTGGAATTTCATCTCTGCTTAGGACACCTCCTGTTTAGATCCATCATTCGACCTGGAAGAGAACCCCCTCTTCTGTGACATGACCACAGCCAACCCCGTGCCAAAATCCTTGCCATCCGACCAGTGGGGTTTCACACACCCCTGTGTATTCCATACCTGGCACAAATAACTCACAAGACGTGTGCCTTTTGTTGAATTGTACTATATATACAGTCAGAGTTTCTGAGGCCCCGGTCACACGGGCTGGAAAATGCGGGGGGGAAGCGTGGCTGTTTGCCCCGGAACAGACATCCTGTCGAGGTCCCGTGGTTAGGCATTAGGTGCCGATCAGACGGCTAGTCTGCAGCGCGGCAAAGAAGCAGCACGGCGCATTCACACCAGCAATCGCGCCATACCGCTTTTGTGGCAAACGGGATTTTTTGTTTGTCTCACCGAAGTTTGTGCATGTGCATGATCATTTGTGTGCATCCTGTGGGGACTTAAAAAAAAAACCGGTTTGCAAGGGGACATGGGCGGGCGCCGGATGCCACGGGATTCCAGCGGAAACGCGATCAGACGCCCGCCCTTGCCCTGCGTTTTCCGGAAACCAGTACATCGTAAGTACTAGTTTTTTACTCCGCATCTTCGGCGGGAAGCCATGGGTTAGCCACGGGAACACTACGCTTCCCAGATGTTGCAGTGTGATTGCCCCGGAAAATCCGCCTATCATCCGTATCTTTAGCGTGGCAAATGCTCCGTGTGAACGGGGCCTGAATCTGTTTAAGACAATGGTGGGGTGTAGCGTAACTTGGAATAAATCACCTAGTAGTAAAGAGCTCGGCAGTAGTTTGTTTACTGAGACCTCTGTGTGTGGTCTTTCTTGTGGTTTTGTCCCTCCAGTTCCGCCATTTCCTCCTGCTACAGCCGCGTATACCAGAGTCTGGCCAACCTGGTTCGTTGGTCCGATCAGGTGATGCTAGAAGGCGTGAACTCCGAAGACAAAGAGGTGGTGAACACAGTCAAAGGGGTCATCAAGGCCGTTCTAGACGGAGTCAAGGTACGGTGTGCTGTGGGGTCCGTGTCCTTTTTGCCCCCTGTGGGGAAACGGTTTTCTATTAAAGCAAAGGCGACAGTTTTAAAGAAGTGGATTAAGGCATCGAGCCCCCGTTTCCAGTTTGAGAGCGTGCTAATCTCTTAAAGCTGAAGATAACTGTCATGAAGTTAGTCTCCCCTGGTGGATGCCTTCAGATGCTCAGGGTAGTGGTGTTCTCTTTGAAACGGGCTCTCCCGCAACGGCTGGCAGTCTGCCAGAATCCACAAACTTCCAAGCATTTGGTTAATTCTTTTTACTTTTTAAAAAAAGGGCTGATTCGCCTGGGGGAATTTCTGGGTCGCTTTTATTTTTTTCCCCCCTGGGCCATTCCAACCATTCCCATTAATATACAGAGCAGCTCAGGAGATGGTGGAGTCTTTGTGGGGCTCATTCACACATCCTGCACGTCGCCCTTCTGTGGATGATCTCGGAAAGGCCACTGGTGGGCACCACTCATGAGGGTCTGGGGGGGGTGTCATCTCTTTCCAGCACTTAATAGTCAACACAGCTGGCAAGTGCCCCAGGTGGACAGAGCGAAGAAGAGACTGACAGTGGCCTGCTAGGTTTGTTTTTGATCAGGCCGTGCGCCAGATGGATATCATTTGCTGTAGAGGACAGTATACACATGTGCACATGCGCACACACACACGAAACATGCGTGGAGCTGCCTTATACTGAATCAGTACATCAAGGTCTGTATCATCTGCACAGACTGACAGCGGCTCTCCAGGGTCTTAGGGGGGAGGTCTTTCACATCAAGTACTACCTGGACTTTTCAACTGGAGATCCCGTGGATTGACCCTTGGGACCTTCTGCCTGCAAGCAGATGCTCTTCCTTTTTCATAAGGTTAAGGTAAAGGTTTCCCTTGCTCGAAAGCCAGTCGAATCCGACTCTAGGGTTGCGGTGCTCATCTCCGTTTCAAAGCCGAAGAGCCAGCGCTGTCCGAAGACGTTTCCGTGGTCATGTGGCCGGCATGACTAAACACCAAGGCGCACGAGACGCTGTTACCTTCCCACCAAAGTGGTACCTATTTATCTACTTGCAATTTCTTGATTTCGAACTGCTAGGTTGGCAGGAGCTGGAACTAGAGACGGGAGCTCACTCCGTCATGCGGCACACTCGGGTCTCGAACTGCTGAACTACCGACCTTCCACAGCCTGCAGTTCAGCGTCTTAACCCCTTGAGCCACCGCAGCTCCGTCCTTTTTCGTAGCACAAGCTTAACCTTCCAGTTGACAAGACGGGCCTCCTTGTTTGTTCGCATGTTTGCTTGGGAAGTAAGTTCCACGCAGTTAGCGTGCTGGATCCCCACCTCCCGTCCACTGGTTTCAGCTCCCTCCCCCACCACCGTTGAGAGAGTTATTGAAAAATATTGTCAGCCATCCAGTTGTAAATGAGGGAATGGGCTGCCTCTTGTCCGCTTATTCCTGGGGTTTTCCATAACCCACTTGTATTCTCCACTCCTGTGAACTTGGCACCGGCATCTGTTTTCAAGCCGTCGTGATTGGGCTTAGACTAGCATTTCTGATGCCAGCAACCCGGTGCAGGAATGAAACTGATCTCCCAGACTTCTGGCTCATGTCGCTGCGCAGTGCCGACGCTTAGGGAAACGATTACTCTCCTTTGTTTGCCATTCACTTTAGTTCGTTACAACAATGATATTGATTTCCCCCCCCTTCCTTTTCCGAAGCCACTGGTTTTTAGAAGCTCAATTGCCTGGAAGAAATGGCGGTTGTTCAAATGCAATAAAGCTTAAGCAAAGATCTTTAAGTCTCAACGCCAAATGAAAGATAAAAATCGATTCTGACTTCTCGAAATGCAGTCAGTGACACGTTTCGGTAGTAATATTTGAATCGTCCAATAATCAACCAAAACGGATACAGAGAGCAGGGGCCGGGGTTTTTTTCTCCTCTCTCTGGGTGGAACTTCTGCCTGGTCGCTCCAGTATCAGCCATTTCTTGGTTCCTCTCAATACCACTTGTGCCCCCTTCCAAAACTTGTACGCAAAGAGATTTCCCCGGTGAAAAATAAACTCATTAGGGCTGGTTGGTTCCAGCGCAGCCCAGAGAGTCACATCTCAGCTGCCAAGAAGCCATTCTTTTGGCCTTGAGGCTCTATTTATACAGAAGCTACATATTGCAGTATAGCAGCCCCCCCACCCCACCCCGTACCCGCCGTTTGTACCCTTCCGTGGGCCTAGTGCTATTTCTGAAAGGCTAGCAGATCCCTTCCACTTCTGCTTTCCGGGGGCCGCTTCTGTCTTTCCTGCATCTTACGCCACGTGGCTGTCCCCTGTAGGTGCTGATCTGGGGTTTTCTCTTACAGTATCTCTGCAAACCTTTGGTATTTATGGCCAAGGAGGGTTCTTCAGCCCTGACCTGGATAGCCCAGGTTAGCCTGCTCTCGTCAGGTCTTGGAAGCTAAGCAGGGTCGGCCCTGGTCAGGATTTGGATGGGAGACCTCCAAGGAATATCAGGGCTGTGACGCGGAGGCAGGCTGCGGCCGACCACCTCTGAATGTCGCTTGCCTTGAAAACCCTACAGGGTTGCCGTAAGTCGGTTGTGACTTGAGGGCAAAAAAAAAAGGGGGTTCTTCGAGTCTCCCTTTTGTGGGACTGAGACCATGGTGGAGGGGGGTTCAGGAAGAAGGCTGTTAGCCCAGGTGCTGATTCACACAGGACAGGCACCACCTAGAAGCCGCCTGAAAATGTATCTCTGCAGAGAGCTGTTTTTATTGATATCACCTTGCTGTGCAGATTGGGCCCCTGCAATGCATTTTATTCTCCTCGTTAGCTCACAGAAGCGTCGTTGTTATCGGGCCCAGATTTCACTCGTAAGAGCCGCTGTGTTCCTTTTCTCAAGGAATCTAGTGGCACCTCTGAGAGTAACTAAGCTCTTATTTACAGAACAAGGAACCATCCACAGACGACTCCATCAGATGTTAGCAGGGCTGTAAGCTGCAAGTTAGGGAAATGACTTGGTGTATTTTTTTGGCTCAAGAATTTTTTTAAGACTTCTGCGTGGGAAAGTCAAGGGTATAAGAACAATGCTACTGAACTTGCTTGGGATTACCAGACTTTTAAAATTAATCTAGCAGGGCTGTAAGCTGCAAGTTAGGGAAATGACTTGGTGTATTTTTTTGGCTCAAGAATTTTTTTAAGACTTCTGCGTGGGAAAGTCAAGGGTATAAGAACAATGCTACTGAACTTGCTTGGGATTACCAGACTTTTAAAATTAATCTTTCCTGGATGTTTTGGCTGTGTGGCCCGAAATAATAAAATGAACTTCGTGGCTAAATGGGGCTTGAACCTAGTTCACCCAGGTCGTAGTCAGGCACTTCAACCATTTAACCATCCTCTCTGTCTTTCTGTCTGTCTCTCTCTCTCTTTCTCTGAAAAGCCAGACTTTGAAGCAGGAAGATCAGTTTCCTGCGTGGGCAGAATGCTGTCTTGAACTTGGCCAAGTTTTGTTGTTCTTCTTTTTTTTAAATCATTTTTATTAGGAACTGGTCAAGCTCACAATTGAGAAGCAAGAGCACCCCTCCCCGACGAGTCCCGTCAAACCCATTTTGCCTGCGTGTAAATCTGACAGGTGAGTAACAGCAGCATCTGACAAAGCGCTTCGATTGCTTCGTCCCTGATTGTGCCCCAAATGGAAACTGAGAGGTGGGGGGGGGGGAGTTCTTTCCTGTAAACGGGGAAATCCCTCCAGGACTTGGACATGCTAGTGAGTCCCTGCACTTCACCATGCCCTGGTCCCTTGGGGGATGTGTGTGCAAGGGGGTGTTCTCAGTGGTTGCATGCGTTCCCCCTCCCTCCCTGGATCACCCACTCATTTCAACAGAACCTGCCTGTAGGTTTGCCATCCTAAATGCAAGAAGACAATGGAGGAAGAGAAACACTGGATTAATAGATTGCAGTGAATTAGAAAGGCCACATCACAGTAGACAAGTCACTTCTCAAATATCTGGCGAAGCTGAATTCTACAGAGCATCTGTATGCTTTTTTGCTGTCCCCTGAGGGGTGTAAAATGTTCCCAATGCTTATTCTTTTTTTTAAAAAAACAATTTATTAGGATATAATGAGAAACAAAAGATTCAAACATATATCAAATGCAATTATATATCCTTCCCTCCTCCCTCCCCCTTTCTCGGCTTCCCATAGTGCTCCAACCTCCAGCCCAATTCTTAAATTTTATTTGTAACACCTTTTCTCTTTTTTCACTTCCACAGGTAACTTATCCTTCAACCGTTATCCTTATACATTTATCTATTTTCTACTATCCTTTAACTAACTTTCAGTAATTCTCAAAGCAAAGTAAATTGTCCTTTACATCCCAGTATTTCTCTAAATAGTCTTTAAAGTCTTCCCAGTCTGCAAAAAATTCTTCTGCTTCCAAATTATTAAGTTTCCTTGTCATTTTATCAATTTCAGCCATAAAAAGTAATTTTTTAATCCATTCCCCAGTTTCAGGGATCTTACCTTGTTTCCAACATTGAGCATACGTCATTCTGGCAGTCGTGATCATATACCACATCAATGTCCTTTTTGCCATATTAACTTCTTCCATTTTAAGTCCCAAAAGTAGTATTTCCGGTTCTTTCTTAAACTTACATTTCACATTTTTTTCCATTTCTGCATGTATCTCAGCCCAAAACATTTTTGCCTTTTCACATGTCCACCACATATGATAAAACGAGCCCTCTGCATTTTTACACTTCCAACATTTGTTTGACATATTACTTATTCATATTTGCAATCTTTTTTGGTGTCATATACCATGTCCCAATGCTTATTCTGACTCTGCTTTTTTGATCCTCCTCAGCCCTTCGGAGCTTCCCCTGACAGATCGGGAGATGGAGATTCTCAACAAGACAACGGGGATGACTCAGGCCACAGAGGTTTCAGCAGATTCCACAGATGAGGAGGTTGCTCCTCCCAAGCCCCCCCTTCCTTGCATTCGGGTAGCTGAAAACAGGTAACTAGAGAGAGAGATGCCTCAGGTGCAATGAAGTCTGCAATGGAGCGGTTTTCAGACTTCCTACTTTAGGAGAACCCTTACCTTGTCATCTTCAAAGAAATCCCTGCATGTCTTCCGCAAGACCCTTGAATCTTGTAGAGGGTTCCTGGGCACGTTTGAAGACATGGAGTTGGTTTCCATGGCGCACTGAGCCAAGCCTGGTGTGTCACCTTATGAACGTGGAGTGTGCCCTAAAATAGATCCAGCACTCCACTTTTGGGTTGCAGAAGGTCACAGAACCAGACAAGGGGTTGGAGCCAAACTCAGTTGGCAGTTCGCGCCAGTTCCCCCTTCCCGCTGCTGACCTGCCCCCATGTCATCCCTCAACGTCCCCGGTCCCCCAGGAGCAGCATTTCATGGAGACTGGTGGGCTGCAATGGGAGTGGGGAGGCGGGGAGCTTCCATTCTGCCACTGGAAACTTGAGACGAGATCCAACCCAATATGTTTGTCAGGGAGGTTGATCCCCGAGAGCCCCAGGGTTCCCCACGACATGCTTTTAAAAACTATTGGTAGAATCACTGGCTGAGCGCACTCATTGGTGAATGAAAGATGCTGTGGGTAACACACTTACCAAGTCCTGGGGGTTGAAAAGATACTTACCTTATTTTGGTATTGGATATTCTGAAGCAAAGCAGCCGTGTGTTAAGCTTGCCTGTCCAGTCATTTTAGTTGTAAATGAAAGACGAGTAGGGATTGGCATGAACTGGCTCACGAACCTAAATTTGTGATGAACCGGGCCCGGTTCGTGGTTTGCAAACCGAGATTCGTGCCATGCCACCACCAAGAGCCTCCCACGAACCTCCCAGGTGGCCTTGGGAGGTTCATGTGGTTCACATCAGCAGACAATGCTGGTGCCAGCGGCGGGTGAACTTAGAAGGCATTTCACTTGCGAGTCACGCAGTGGCAGCGCAGCTTGCCAAAACCATTTAAAGCAGGAGTGTCAAACATAAGGCCCGGGGGCCAGAACCGGCCCATCCAGGGCTCTTACCCGGCCCACAAGCAACTGGTATGGATAGAAATGTAAGGTACTCCCCCTTTTATAGTATCCCTTGGAAAATAACCTAGTCGGGTATGATTAAATATATTTATTGTGGCTTTTGTGGATTCCCCTATAAGTCAATTGCTCTGCTAGGAATCAATTGCTTTTGTTTGTATTTTGAGTAAAAATAGTATTGTTAATTGGTTTTGTCTCTGTCCTTTTTAAAGTTTATATCTCCAGTACCTGGTGTTAGATTTTATGGTATACATGGCCTTGGCCCAACAAAGTGATATTTATGTCAGATCTGGCCCTCGTAACAAATGAGTTTGACGCCTCTGATTTAAAGGGATCCCTTTAAATTGCTTTTGCAAGCCACTGCTACATCACGAACCATGAACCAGTTTGTTAAATGGAAAGGTTGAAGGTTCTGAGACCACATGAACCACCAACCTTCACGAGCCTCCATTTTCCCGGTTCGTGCCCATCCCTGAAGATGAACTCATGGGAAAAACTCACAGCTACCCATGAACCACACAGGAGCATTTGGAAAGTGGGATGTGATGTTGGACACCATCATGCCATGAGGGTCAGGTGGTGGATCCTTACTCCCTGCACTACAGGCTGGAGGGTTGACCTACGGGCCATTCGAGCAAGAATAAAAACAACACAGAAGAGAATCCTTCCAATCATGGGCATCACCTGACTCCCAGAGAGCCAATTCCATGCCACTCCCTTGCTCCGAATCTCGTGGGTCTTCCACAGTATTATCTTCGTCTCAGGTGTCTTCCCTTGGCAGGCTGGCCGGCTTCTCCCTTCCCATGCCTGTTTCCTGGGAGGTTTTCAGTCCTGCTGGTGCCTTTCAGTCTGTGGGATTCTGGCACTGCCTTGGTCCTCCTGTCTGTGCGTCTCTTTCCCAGATAGCCTTCTCTGCTGCTTCCTCTGCTGCCACTGTGCTTTGACCCTGCCAGCACTCAGAATGCAGGTGCCTGACAAAGGATGTCCATTCCGCATCTGCCCAGCGCTCCAGCGAGTGAACAGTTGTGCCCATCAGCAGCTGTGCAAAATGTTCCATGCACGTAATTTCAAGCACATTGACGATCATGGCTCCCAGTGTGTGTATTTGTGTGCTGAGATTTGGCAAGGAAGCAAACCCACATGGGAGGAAGAACATGAAAATAAAGACAAAGCCCACTTTTAATTTCCTTACTTCTCTGCTTTCTGTATCTTGCTTTTCCCTCTTTATCAGTAGCCTCTCAAAAGCACCTGAATTTTATTTTCAAAGGTAGGCACCCCCCCAAGCTTTAGAGTTTTTAAACTAACCAGCACCAAGGTGAGGGATATGCACATTGTGTGGTTTGGCAAAAGTGTCTACTTTTGAGACCTGTGGTTGCTGGTAAGAATTTCCTGTGCAATTTTTCTCAACAGTGAGCTGAAATTAGAGGCGTTGGGGGATCTGAATACTTTGCATGCACATCGGTGGCAGGAAAACCCAGCCATTGCCAGTCCTGCCTGCCCAGTCAGAAACAACTTTTCCCACCTATGCAGTGAATGCACAGGTGGAGATATTTTTTGCCTTTCCTCCCTGCCTCAGCTTCGATCGACAGACTCGTGCTTTTGAGTAGGACTGAAGTGAAACGACACTTCACCCTGCAGACTTCGGGCAAAATAATCTTATAATGTGCCTGCTGCCAATTGTGAAGAGGCTTCTCGGAGAGCTGCCAGAAAAGCACAGTTTTCCCCCAAGCAATTCGAGACCAACAGTAGTCTCATATCACTAGACTCATGCCACTTGTAAAAAAAAATTAAATGTAAAAGAACAAGGGGAAGAACAGTCAATGGAGCTTGCATACCGATGAATGGCGGAAGGTGCAAAGTGGGCGGAATGACCTCAATGTGGGTGGGGGAGTGATCTTCAAGGGGCAGCAAAGGGGCAGGGGAGAAATCTGGGTGAATCTGTACACTTTTGAATTATCTTTGGCTCGGAAGCAAAACAAGGGGGAAATTGGCACAAAACCACTCTCAGAAAACCCGGGGAAACAGCGACCGGAAAGCGAACTGAGTGCTGCAGGGGGGGGGGAAATCAATGCAGAACAAAAAAGAAAATCCGATGGAGACGCGTGGCAAAAGCATGGGGAAATACCCATGCATAATGGGCCAGTTTTATTTAGACCTGCATTTGGTTAAATTTACTAGCAGTCCTCAATCGTGATTTTAAATTTTGGTTGTTACGTTTGTTATGTATGTTATCTATGTCGAAAGCCGCCATGAGCTCCCTAAGGAAAAACGGTGGCTAATAAATATATTAAATAAATAAATAATCTGAAGTAATGCTTAATCTGTTGTTAAATACTGTGCTTACAGGAGACCTCCGCTGTAGGAGAATATGGGGGGGGGGGCAATTTTGCAGATATTTTTGTACCCCTTTGGGGTCAGTAGGTTAAAATGTGTTTTACTTAAGAAGAAAATTTATCTTTGCTTTCTGAAGGAGAGAGTGAAAAAGCAAAGGTATATAGACTGCAGAGCGTTGCTCGCACCGGGGATGCTAGAGAAATTGTGGCATCTTGTGTCTTCTAGATGTAAAAGTATTTGATGCTCATATGAGGGTTTTTAAAAAAATCTCTTCTCTCCCGCAGTCCTCCTCCAGCGCTGCCACCAAAGAAACGTCAGTCAGCTCCGTCTCCTACGAGAGTGGCTGTTGTGGCACCCATGAGCCGGACCACCAGTGGCTCCAGTTTACCTGTTGGAATCAACAGACAGGTAACGGTGTGGCTCCTCCAGGAGTATTTGGGGTGGTCTGGCGGGGACTGAGGGGGTGTGCGCTTGCAAAACGGTCATTTTAATTCCGCATTGGAAAGCCGGGAAGGGCGTTATTATCATTTTAGTCAAATGTTGGGAGTATTATCATCATTCTAGAAATACCAGAGCAATACTCCCGATATTGTCCTTCCCAACTTTCCCATACAAAATTATAATTTTGCAAGTCCCTCCGCCCCCTGAGGCAGGGAGGAAGGAAGAGAGGAGAGGGATTCCTGCCTCGTAGCTGGTCCATTGGCCTTTTAAACTTTAAAAGGCCATCATTTTCAAAGTGCCATCGAAGATAATGGCCCTTTAAAAGTGTAAAGGGGAGGTGTGCCAGTGAGCATGTGGGGGGCGGGAATATTCTAAATAATAGGTGGTAGACCTTATCTCTGGAGGAAGCTGTGTAATTTGAACTTGGGAAGGCAGTTTGGGACAGGTGTGCTTTCATGAGCTGCTTGAAAATAGCAAAAGAAGTGAGCGAAGTGTTACAGGCAGAGGTCATTTCGGGGGGGAACGCGGAGGAACGCAGTTCCCCCGGGTGAGGTGCAGGGGGGCGGGGCACATGAAGCCCCGCCCCCTGCTTCTGGCCGCCCCACTTCCAGCCCTCATTCAGCCAGGAGGAGGCAGGAGAAGAGGGAGGGTAAGTTACTTCCTCCCCGCCTCTCCCCACCCCTGCCTGCCTGGGGCCAGGGAGGGCCTTGGCAGGGCTTCCTCGCACTTCCGCCGGCCTTGCAGGTCCACCGCCGGGCCCCTGATGTCAGGGGGTGTGGCATATGCTAATGAGTTATGCTAATGAGTTCCCCTAGCTCTTTTTCTATGAAATGACCCCTGGTTACAGGGGAGGAGCTTCGGCTCAGGGGCAAGGGGGTTTGGGGACAGACAGGAGACCAGCAAGAGGCCAGCGGATCTTGAGCTGTTCCGAGGGTGCTGTAAGAGTAAAAGGACCTTCCATGACCCTGACCTGGATAGCCCAGGCAAGCCCGATCTTGTTGGATCTCGTACGCTAAGCAGGTTTGACTCTGGCAAGTCAGGAGGCGGGGGCAGGCTTTGTTCAGCCACTTTCCTGAATATCCTCCAGGCCCCCAGTAGGGGTCAGTCACCAGAGGTCGCCATGACTTCCAGGTGTACACACACACACATCAAAAAATACCAACAAAAAGGACCCTCCATGAGAACTGAGGAGAGACGAAAAGGCAGATCAAGAGAGGTTTAAGAATGGCAGCACATGGAGACTGGAATTGGGTGCACTGGGGAGAGGAAGGCCAGTGCAGAGTATGAAGGAGCAGTGAAGACCAAGAAAAAGAAGGCGTAGAGAAAACCAGACCAGCTTTACACTTTGGAGTCTGTGTCTCCTTACTGGCAAGTGGTCCTTAGCCACTAGTGTAAGTCCGTAGCCTAATTAACAGTCGGTGGCTACTAGCAACACCACACCCCACGCTTTCAGGGAGCTGAAGGAAACCCACACATGAAGCTTCCTTATACTGATTCAGACCATCGTTCCATAAGGTCAGTATTGTCTACTCAGACCAGCAGCAAGGTCTCAAGCAGAGATCTTTCACCTCCCTTTCTGCCTAGCCCTTTTAACTGGAGATGCTGCCGGGAATTGAACCTGGGACCTTCTGCATGCAAAGCAGAGGCTCTTCCACTGAGCGCCTCCCATAAATGCTGCAGAATGAAGAACAGCAAGAAAAGGCAAAAGACAGGAAGGAGGCAGACCAGGATACAGGAATCACAGTAGTCCAAGCTGCTATCCGAGACCGAGGGCCGTTCCTTGGAAATCAGTGGAATTTTCGTCTGCGTATACATGCTTGGGATTGCACTTCCTGAGACCTGACTAGAGGTTTTGAGAGAGGGCCTAGAGGATGGGGCAACGTTTGGCAAGACTAACTGCAGCAACACAGTGTCCTCGAAGGGTTTAGCCGCTCTGTGAGACATGGTGAGCATGGAGCCACAGTGGAGTGGGGTGTTCTCAAGGCTAGTTGAGCAGGAGAACGGCACAAAGGGGTTCAGGCTCTTCTAGTCCGTGACACGGAGGAGAACTCTGAGCACAGATGGAGGTTGGCCATCCAAGTGCACCCTGCGGGTTGGTAGGAGAACCACCTCAAAATCTCAGTGACTTGGTTGGTTGACCTCAGCCCACGTCCTCAATGCATGCTGTCACTCCATTCCATCTCAGCAATCTGGTTATTGTGTAAGAGAGGGTTGCCATTCCTTCAATGGTCTGTGTTGGTCGTTTTATGGGTTTACCTCTTGCCTTAAGAATCTGCCAATGTGGTTTGGGTGAAGTGGATGATATTGAGCACTATTTACTGAGATGCTCATTGCACGAATCACTTAGGCAGAGATTTATATACCCTATTTTACCTTTGCACAATGGATTCTCAAAACAGGAGTTGGTTGTTTTTTTGCTCTCTGATATGGACGTATATGTTACCAGCAGAATGTCCCTGTTTGCTTTGGCGGCAAAAAAGATAAGATTAAGGTTAGGATTCAGCGCAAGTTAGTGAAGGGATAACTTAATGTGATGTATAAGGATTGTGTTTGTATTTATGCCTTGTTATGGCCAATGGCTAATACAATAAACTTGATGATACTGGTGATACTGGTGTAAGAGAGGGTTGTGTCTGTCTGCGTGAGTTTAGCGATGGGCTGGCACTCAGTTCGGAACTGGTGTATTGAAAACAGATTCGTGTAGGATGTCTACCAGAAGTCCCCCCGATCCACCTGTTGTTTCAGTGGGAATCAGTCACCGTTCAGCAAGGCCTCCCTGCTTGGTATCGCTCACGTCCGTTTTCCCCTCTCCAGGATTTTGATGCCGACTGCTATGCTCAGCGCAGGCTGTCGGGTGGCAGCCAGTCCTACGGAGGGGAGTCCCCCCACCTGTCGCCGTACAACAGCATGGGCAAGCTGAGCAAGTCTGACGAGCAGCTCTCCTCGCTGGATTGCGACAGTGGGCAGTGCTCCCGCAACACAAGCTGTGAAACGTTAGGTAGGAAGAGGAAAACTGGAGGGGCGCGCGGGGGCAAGGCTGCAAGGGAAGAAGGTGGCGCACGCGTGTGCAGTCGGAGGGGTTGGGGCTGGAACCTTGGAGATGTGGAAAATCACAGTGTGTTGGAAGAGATGGGTTTGAGCCTGATCCTTGGTCGTGGCCTGCCAAGGCTTACTGGGCATGAGACAGGGCTGCCGGCAGTTTGAGGTAGGATGCAAACACAGGCTGGACTCCTCCTGATCATGTGATCTGAGAGACCCTATCTCATCTCCCTCCTGGCTGTTTAGTGCCAACGGGATTCTTCCCCCACCCCTTAATCACCATTCTGGAATACTTCAGTTAGCCAAGCCCCGGCTGGGGGTGGGAGATCCCCTGTCCCCAGGTCCTGTTGCCTGCTGCCACCATAAACGGCAGTGGGAGAAAAACTAAGAAGAAAAATATGGCCTCATCTACGTACAGGAAGTTCTTACCATAGAGTTCCCGGGGATTCCTAGAGCTACCCAGAATCGAGAAAGGTAGCTCTAGGAATTGCTGCGAACTCTGTAGTAAGAATGCTTGGTTTTACCATAGGGCTTCCTGCAATTGCTACAGCTACCCTTTTCATTTCTGGGTAGCTCTAGGAATCCCCAGGAACTCTGTGGTAAGGACTTCCTGTAAGTAGATGAGGCCTGATTTTTCTATTTTAATTTTTCTCCTGGGAATTTGCCCCACCCCCTTCTGCCAGTTGCCAGGCAACTCTACCCATGTCTCCTTCCTCAACCTGTGGATTATGGTGCCGCTGCGAAAGACCATGTTTCCTTGCTCCCCTCCTCCACGTGCTGTAGCTCTTTTTCTCCCCTCTGTCTCGCTCCGTTGAGTTCCAGCCAGTTCTTGATGGGGTGCTTTTGGTAGCCCGTTAGGCCCCACAGGTTGATTCCCCCCCTCCCCCCGCACACACACACTTGCTGTCTCTGATGTCCCTATGATTGTAAGACTTGCTATACAGGATCAAACTAGAGTGGTAAAATGTAGTCCGGTATTCACCCGTGGTTAGCTAAATGCTTCAGGAAGGAGTTGGAGGGGACATGTCCCATTGATTGCCTCCTGGCCTTGAGAGGTACACTGCCTTTGTACGTGGAGGTTCTAGTGGAGGCTTGATGTATGAATGCTTAAGCCTGGCCCTTCTTGGCTTTCATTGCATTCGCAAAGCAAACCACAGATGGCAGCTTAAGGCAGCCACATAGTTTTGCTTCATATCAAAGCCTGTCTTTCTTGTTCATTGGCATGGCAGCGACCTCACCAATGGGGCTGGGTGTCTTTTGACCTCTTGATCTCATGACGCTTTTTTAATTCTCCGCAGATCACTATGATCCGGACTACGAGTTCCTGCAGCAAGACCTCTCCAACGCCGATCAGATACCTCAGCAGACCCCTGGCGTCCTCAGCCCTTTGCCGGAGTCCCTGGCAGAGTCCAGCTCCCCGTTTCACGGACGTTCTTTCCAGCTGCCGGAGCACTGCAGCCCCTCGGCAGCAACGCAGGCAGCAGAGATCCCTCCGGCTCTGCCCGAGAAGAAGAGGAGGGGCACAGCCGCTCACGCTTTCGACACCTCCGGCTGTAGGATCTTGTTTGAGAGGCACCCCTCGCAATACGATAACCTCTCCGAGGACGAGATGCACAACCTGGCCTTGATCCCGACGATGCACTTCACCCCTTTTGCAACCGTGCTGCCCTTCCAGCCGGGGAACTCACCGGCCCCGGTAGAATTCCTCAATGACTTTGCTGCTCCAGACTCTGTGGGGGACTCCGAGAAACCTCCGCCTCTGCCCGAGAAGAAAAACAAACACAGTAAGGGCCGCCAGGGGTCTGCTTCGGGGGTGGGTGGGGTGGGGGCTCTGAGCTTGCATCTTCTTTTTAAATTTTTTTAAATAAATTTGATAAACAAGTTAGATCATAGATAAATGAGAACCAACTGAGCCGAACAACAAGCACTTATAAACATTATAACGGAACAATGCTCAACAGTCCAGCCACATCTTCTAGAGTCCTTGGGCGCATCTCTAGCGGCAGAAGCATATGTGGTATTGTGCAACACCGACGGACTCCCTTCCCCTACATGTTCTTGGGCTTCCGGTTATCCTTGGGTGTTGCTGAGGGATCGGGGTGCAGGTGTCGGGGACCTGAGCAACCCCCAGGCCCCCTGACTCTGAGGGAAGCCAGGGGCCCACCCTATCATCCATGCACCAACAACACCCGTGGCACCTTTATGGCAAGGCCTGCTGGCTCCATTGCTTGATAGGGACTGGCCCTTTAACAGTCAGTCCACTCCACTGCCTGATAAGCAGCTGGAGACAGTCTTGAGCCAGGGGTGGGGAAATGAGGAGATGAGTCGTAGGTGGGATATGGGCAGTGGCAACAGCTTCCCACAGGAAGTACTCAAATCCCACGGGAGTTCCGCAGGGGTGGAGCCTCCAAAGGGGCGGGCCCCAGGACTAGTCAGGCCCTTCATCAGGCAAAGGGAAGTAGGTCCAGGAGAGCACACCGTGTCCTGCTCCTGAGGCCGAAAGGAGTAGGGTCGGGAGTAGGGATGTGCATTCGGTTAGTCTGAACCGAATGCACCCCTGAAAATGGCCCATTTGGACCCCTTTCAGGCTGCTGCAGGCTGATTCAGATTCTCTGATCTGAATTGGCTTGCCGCCGAATTTCGGCGGCAATTCAGCGCCATTATATCCTATGGGCCATTGAAGTCAATGGCGAAAACGTAGGGTATATTCTGGGGGCTGGAGGGGAGGGGGTTTGCGGGAGAGGCTCCAAACTCGCAGGGTAGCTGCTGGAGCCTCTCCCCAAGATACCAACCATGTTTCAAGAGCATTGGACCAGGGGGTCCAATTCTATGGGCCCTCAAACAGGTTGCTCCTATCCCCTCCATTGTTCTCTATGGTGGGAAAAAGTTACTTGGGGAGAGGCTCCAGCAGCTACCCTGCGAGTTTGGAGTCTCTCTCAAGCCCCCTCCTCTCCAGCCCCCAGAATATACTCTATGTTTTCGCCATTGACTTCAATGGCCCATAGGATATAATGGGGCTGAAATTGGCATTCGGCTGGCCGAAAGACTCTCCAATCGGCTTGTACTGATGAAACTGACATGTGGGAGTCTTAGTGCCAGCCGAAACGGATTCTGCCCGATTCGGCCGAATCCGAATGGGCCGATTTTTATTTTTTTTTTGCACACCCCTAGTCGGGAGAGGTGAAAGACACGGGTGAAGGAATACACCAACGCCCCTGCTGGCAAGGATCTGCCAGACCCGGTCAGAGCCCCTGCCACAGGTCTGCGTTTATTTACTTGGCACATAGTTTGTTGCATTCCCGAGGTGCAGACTAGCAAGTTATACTCTGTCCATGTGGTGCAGAGGAGAAGTGTCCGGTGCTGCTTTTCTGAGGGGCAGCCATTGGGAAGACCTCTTTGCATGCTTTTTGTCAATCAGATGTTGTGTATTTGGTATATTCTTTTTCATTTCAAGCTCAGTGGTTGTAATGGAACACGGAGGTGGAAGTGGCCTCTTCAGAATTCCTGTCTTTTCTCAGATGTCTTGCCTGCAGAGGCCTTTGTGTCCCTTCCGTGTGGCATACAGGTCAGGGCCAGATTTTCACCCAGCCTTCAGACTCTGGAGTGGCTGACAAGTAGTGTACCAATAAGGGATGTTGTAAAAAAGCCCAGTAGCAGCTTTAAGACTAACAAACTTTATTGTAGCATAGACCTTCGAGAAACACAGCTCTCTTCATCAGATGCATCTGATGAACAGAGCTGCATTTCCCGAAAGCTAATGCCACAATAAAGCCTATTAGTCTTAAAGGTTCTAATGGGCTTTTTACTGTTTTGCAGCAAGAGACTAACACAGCTTACTCCTCTGGATCTGTGCCCAATAAGGGATCGATTTGTTCTGTCCCCTTCCGTCCTTACATACGGGTGGAGTGGGAGATTCCAGTGTGTAGTGAGGGAAGGTGCGTACAGTTCTCATGCAGGTCAAATGAGAGTCTGGCGGTCTGACCAGGAAGGAGTCTTCACTGAATGCTAATGACTTCCTGGCAGCCCACAGAAAATGGTCAAGATCTTAGCTGTTGCCTGTGAATGGAGTCAGTTCTGAATTCATTGTTTTCACATCTCCCTCCCTTCCCTTGCCCGAAATCACTACATCCTGCAGTATTCATAACTGGGTCTGTTGAAAAGCACGGGGAAGATTTTTTTTTCTTTTCCAGGTCTGAGCAAGGAACCTTGTCCCCTGCCCGTCAGAATTGGTTTCAGCTCTGCTTTTCATCCTAGTTGAAAGTATGGCTGTGCTGCGTAGAGCTCTGTTTTTGATGTTTAGGAAACAACAAGCAATCCTGATGGGGTGTGTGGAATTCCCCCCCCCCTAAAAACATTTTTTATTTGTCCAAATATTCACTTCCTTAGAAATCCCATTAGGTGCCACTTTTCAGAAGCCTTGGCTTGGTAGCTGCTGCTGCTGACCGGGAGGCTCCTGGCAATTTGTCCAGCAGCTGGAGGGCCACGTGAGAAGGCCCTGCAGGCTGGAATTGTGCCCCCCCCCCCCCCCAGCCATGATGTGCCCACCTCGGCCCTAGAGGAGTGAGCATGAGTCGGTTAGCTTAACACTCAAGCTGGTCATGTTCCTCTGCAAGACTTGAGTCTCTGAAATTCTTTTTCTCCACGTAATAATCGTTCCTTTTTAGAAGCCAGAGAGATGTGGGACCATTTCAGGTGGTCATAAGCTCTGTTAGAGCTGCTGCCACAGAGTGTGTTGTCCAGGTGTCACACCATTGGGTCAGTGGCTCTTGAGTAGACTGGATGGGAATAAAAACTGTGACTTAAGTCTCCTTGAAAGCCATTGGGAGACACGGACTCTCTTTCTTTCTTTCTTTCTTTCTTTCTTTCTTTCTTTCTTTCTTTCTTTCTTTCTTTCTTTCTTTCTTTCTCTCTCTCTTTCTCTCTCTCTTTCTCTCTCTCTTTCTCTCTCTCTTTCTCTCTCTCTTTCTCTCTTCTCTCTTTCTCTCTCTCTCTCTCTCTCTCTCTCTCTCTCTCTCTCTCTCTCTCTTTCTTTCTTTCTTTCTTGTTACAATCATAGATCAGTCACAATTGACACTCATAGTTATCAGCACATTTGCAAACAATAAAATTCCCAGGCATAGAATTGGATTTATTATAAACAGTAATAACATGGGAATTAGAATAGAATTGGATTTATTATAAACAGTAATAACATGGGAACAGTATAAAATCTCTGGCAATCGACTCTTTGGCCTCCATCCCTGAAGCTGCAAGAGACGCCCCTTCGATCAGCTGTAACAGCTAGTTTGTGTGTGTGTGTGGATTAGATTGCCTTGTCAAACCCCAAGGAACCTCTTCCCTAAGCAGGCTCCTGTCTGCCTGGGAGATCTCATAATGCCTCGTTGGGTCCAAAGGATCTGGGGTTGTAAAATCAGCTAGCCTCAGATCACTTTACCAATTTCCACCTGAAGCCCTTCATCCGCTAGGCGTCTTGCCTGTGGCTGGACATCTCGGGAGGGGCTGTGGCTCAGTGGCAGAGCATCTGCTCAGCGTGCAGGAAGACCCGGGGTCCATCCCCGGCATCTCTATTTAAATGGACCTGGTAGTAGGTGATGTAAAATACCTCTACCTGAGACCCTGGAGAGCCCCTGCTAGTCTGAGCCGACACTGATTTTGATGGTCTGATTCAGTCGAAGGCAGCTTCAGGCGGTCCTGTGGACCACTTCCATGTTACGTATGCCTGTGGGTCTTGTGAAAGCTTAGCGTCTCCTACGTTTTGAGGAATTGGTCATTCTGACATTTTCAGCTTTCTTTTTTAAGGTTTCTGTTCCTTATGAGTTTAGAAAGAAGCTTCACACCCTTTCTCTCCTTCAGTATCCCTCGTCCTCTACCATACACATACACATGGTTTATTGTACTAAGCCATTGGCCATTACAAAATACAGAATACAGCAGAGCAGTCATAAAAAGTTAAAAAGCACCGTTAATATCCGGGTTAAAATTAACTACTAATCAGTAATAAAAGAAAGATAAAACAGGTTTAATCACCATCAGGTAGCCTGCCCCTTAGATCGAATCTTAGATGCTGCTAAAGCAAACAGGGAAACTCTATAGGATAGATAAGCATCATTATCTGACAGCAAGAACTCAGTCTTCTCAAGTTTCTGGGTATGCTAGGATTCCTGCTAAAAATTTCTCTCTTGGAGCGCTGCATAGGGGACAGTAGAGCATGTAGTGAGGAAGGGCCTCCACCTCTGGCAAGCCACAAATGCAGAGACGTTGCTCTTTTGGAGTATGCGAATAACGGCCCGCCAAAAGAGCTGTTTGCGTGGTTTGGAATCGTAAAGCTGTAAAGGGCACTCTGAGGTTATAGTTAGAGACAGGGGTCATTTCATAGAAAAAGAGGTGCAGGAGCTCATTAATATAACTCATTAGCATATCTTATTTGCATATGCCACACCCCCTGACATCACTGGAAGTGTGTCAGAAGGCACCATTGGACTGTTTTGGATTGCTAGCTATGGGGGGGGAGGGATGTGCAGATCTGTCCTCGCAGAGGAGGGAGAGCTTGTACCTGAATAAAACTTGGTCTTAAAGGTGCCACTGGACTGTTTTGGACCGGGGGGGGCTCTGTAACTTACCTGGCTGCTTCTTGCTCTGACTGAGGGCCGCTGGGAGCAGGGGGTGGGGCTTGTTGCATGTGCCCGCCCCCTGGGCTCTTTACTGCTGGAGCTCCGCTCCTGTGCGCTCCTGCAGGAAATGACCCCTGGTTAGAGATATTGACTAGGTAACTCGACCTGCGGTG